GAGAGAACTGCTCGAGAGAATAGCTCTGAGAGAACTTGTGACTGACCCAAGGTCACACAAGCAGCTGCATGTGGAAGAGTGGGGAATCAAAGCCGGTTCTCCCAGTAATGCGGTACCGGATACTAAGGCCATGGTCCCCTCCTCTCCCCTACCCCTCACATCCTGGCATTGTCATTAATCCGTGTGCAGGGATGGTGGGTGTGAAGAAGTGCTCTCTGCCCAAGAACCCAACTGGATATTTTTGGAATTACACTCTACACATGCTCCAGAGGCTGTAATGCTAGTAAAAGCCTAGCAAAAGAAAAACTATGGGAGATTAATCCCCCCCCCCCCCCAACACGGAGCTCTCCAGCTCTTAGTTATGCTAAAGGGAAGAACCAAAGGGTTAACATTTCACACGTTGCTGGAATGTTGCACCAGAATAGGACAGAGATTGAGAGGGCTAAATAGTAATTTCTTCTTCCTGAAGCCAATAGATCAGGGCTGACCCCAGAGGGGGGCTGACTCCCAAAGGAGAGTTTATACATTCTCAGGATATGAGGAAGCCGCTCTCTTCTGCTCTGTCTTTCAGCTTGTGGCCAGGGAGACACAGGACATGGAGACTCCATCTTTACTTAGGGACTCCATTTTGACCATGTGTTGAGGGACAGTGGGAGAAATCCCAGCTCTAAGAACTAAGGCAATGCTGGAATTTTTAATTCTTTTTTTTAAAAAGTTTTATTTATCAGTTTTCACTACATACCAAGAAAAGGGGGGGGGAAATGTAAACATAGTACATGAAAGTACTATGTTTACATTTTTGTAAACAGACAGTTTTTGTAAACAGACATTTTTGTAAACAGACAGACAGTTTTGGAGTTTACACTAAGCATTTTTTCCAATCCATTTGTTAACTTTTCGCCATCTTTTTTGAAGCACATGTTCTTCTTTCCCTGATAATATCATACTTAATTTGCCAATTCCATTAATTCACAAATTTTTGTAATTAACTCTTCTCTACTGGGTATTACATCTGTTTTCCAACATTTTGCAACGAGAATTCTCGACACAGTAAGTATATATAATATAATACACGAATCATCCTGTTTAATTTCATCTGGCAATATATTAAGTAAGTAAGTTTCTGGGACAAGTTGTAGGTCTGTCTCAGTTATCTCTATTATTAATTGTTTAATACTTTTCCAAAATGTACCAATTTTTTCACACCGCCACCATATATGGTAAAATGTTCCTATATTATTTTTGCACCTCCAACAATCTCCTGAGACATTTTTGTAACATTTCGCTAATTTGTCAGGGATCCAATACCACCTGTAAAACATTTTAAATATATTTTCCTTGTATGACGTGGATCTTAATAGTTTAGTAGATTTCCATGTTTTTGCCCACTCATCTATGTTTAAAGTGTGTCCTATATCTTGCATCTACATTACCATATTCGATTTTACTATTTCGTCTTGCATATCATCACATAGTAAAAAGTTATATAGTTTTGAATCAGTTTATCCGAGGATGATAGCCAAATTTTATCTAATTCCAGTTTTGTTGTCACAAAATCTATTTTTTTGTCTTTGGCAAATCTTGATTGTAGCTGTAATTCTTCCCAATTTGTAAGATTAATATTCAATAGTTCTAGCGTCTCAAACAATTTCAATTCATTATCGTTTGCTAGCAACCTTTCATATGTTACTTTCTTATTGTCCGTTAATAAATTTGGCATTATAAAGGCCTCCAATGGTGAGACCCACAATGGTATTTTAGTATAGAACCTTCCTTTAAGTTTTTTCCATAACTTAATTAATGCTCCCCTAATTATATGGTTATGGAATTTTTGATGTATTTTATCCTTGTCGTACCATACATAGGCATGCCAGGCAATGCTGGATTTTTTTATTCTGTACCTTCAAGAGTTACTAGCCTATCCTACATCGTTTAGGAGGGTTTAGCGAGGACTGTATGTTTTCACCTTTTCTTTGTATCCCTGCTCAGTCTGATGCTTGATCAGACCATGTGTACTCTTTTTATTAAACTTTCTTATATTTTGAATGATCAAAGCCTGATCTCCGTAAGTACACCACACCTATTTTGTCTCACTTTCCAAAGACATAAACTCACCACCCCTCAAATGCCAAGGTGCAACAGATTGTCTCCATGCTAGCTTGTAGGAGAGAAGAGGGAGATATAGCACCAAGGGGGAGACTCTAAATGGCAATGCAGTTCCAGAGTCCTAGATATACAAATCTGTCTCGCATATCAGTTGTTGGCTTCTACGCAGAGAGGAAGTTTGGTACCCCACTAGGAGGAAAGGGAAGGAGTAGTGTCGCTGGGCAGGGACCTGGAGCAGTCACAGGGCTGGGATTAAAGGGGGTGGGGCATTCCTTCACAGCTGGCACAAAAGCCAGTGGAAGTGTGATGACTGAGACCCTTTCCCAGGACATTCTCTAGTACCTTCTGGGAGCATGTTGACAACAGCCAATGTCCCCCAGAGATTTCTGACCATGAGAGGAATGGTGTGCATAGTTTTCTCTGGGTGACCTCCCCCCCCTAATAAACCGAAGAGAGGCAGACTGCCTGGCAGTCGATCAGATCAATGCCAAATAAGGGCACAGAGGGCACACAAATTCAGATTTTCAGGGTGAGGCAGCATCAGCCTTGATGAAGCGGCTACGTAGAACGGACTGACTGAAATCACAGCAACACACATCAAGGTTCTAGACCACCACGGAACAAGGCTGGCTGAAGCGACTGGTTTACAGCAAAGTTTTCCATTTGTTATCTAGATGCCTTCTAAGTCGCCGTGTGCGTGGGATGGCGGGACGGTAGAGCCCCTGCTTTGCGTGCAGGAAGTCCCGGGTTCAGCCTCTGGCAGCTCCACCGGAAAGCAGCTCAGAGAGGAGAGTTGGGGAAGGCCTGGGCCAGCCCTCCGGGGGAACACCCACCCACCGCCCTGGGCAATTTATTGATTTATCAGATTTATACCCCGCCCTCTCCGCAAAGCAGGCTCAGGGCGGCTTCCATACAAACATAAATACAGTTAAAATCATACAATTATTTAAAATACGACAGATAAAATACAAACACAAAGTGCTGGCCACAGTTAAAAGATTAACTTAGATGGCTCATTTTCAAGATGAATTACCCCCTTCCCAGATCTTCACAGAGGTTAGAATTTCTTATGGCATCGGCTCGATGTTAAACCCACGGGCCAGGGTTCAAAGATAAAACCACGAGCCAGGGTTCTACGACAGCGAAATAGCAGCTATGAAATACACACTGATTGGCTGCTAAAACTATTGATGTAAAACAGGCTAGGATCTTGGCACAACCTCCAAGGGTGAGCTACACATTTCTTAATATTTAACTTAATAGTTTTGCTGTTTCGGAAAATACTTCTTTTTAGAAAAATTAATGCCCAATACGATCCCCAAGAGAATCTTTCCGGGACCTGCAGCCCCAGCAGGTTCATGAAGACAGAGCTGGCTGGAATCGATGTCAGAAGGTGCTGCATCTTTCGAGACCCAGGGCCTTCCAGATTTTTCCAGTCTTTCCGTACGCCTGAGGGAATTTCACTGTGGATTACTTCTCAAGCCTTAGCGGGGGGGGGGGATTGTGCACAGGTTTTGAACCACATAAGAGAACATAAGAGAAGCCAGTGTTAAGTCAATAGCAGCTATGAAATACACACTGATTGGCTGCTAAAACTATTGATGTAAAACAGGCTAGGATCTTGGCACAACCTCCAAGGGTGAGCTACACATTTCTTAATATTTAACTTAATAGTTTTGCTGTTTCGGAAAATACTTCTTTTTAGAAAAATTAATGCCCAATACGATCCCCAAGAGAATCTTTCCGGGACCTGCAGCCCCAGCAGGTTCATGAAGACAGAGCTGGCTGGAATCGATGTCAGAAGGTGCTGCATCTTTCGAGACCCAGGGCCTTCCGGATTTTTCCAGTCTTTCCGTACGCCTGAGGGAATTTCACTGTGGATTACTTCCCAAGCCTTAGGGGGGGGGGGGGATTGTGCACAGGTTTTGAACCACATAAGAGAACATAAGAGAAGCCAGTGTTGGATGAGGCCAATGGCCCATCCGGTCCAACACTCTGAGTCACACAGTGGCCAGAAATACCAGGTGCCAGAACTCCAGAAGCCTTACTACACTGCCCTCCCCCCAAGCACCAAGAAGTCAGAGCATCCCTTGCCCCAAACAGAAGAACATAACAGAAGTCATGTTGGATCAGGCCAGTGGCCCATCCAGTCCAACACGCTGTGTCACACAGTGGCCAAAAATACCGGGGGCCACCAGGAGGTCCACCAGTGGGGCCAGATCTCCAGAAGCCCTCCCACTCTTGCCTCCAAAACACCAAGAAGACAGAGCATCACTTGCCCCAAACATAAGAACATGAGACAAGCCATGTTGGATCAGGCCAGTGGCCAATCCAGTCCAACACGCTGTGTCACACAGTGGCCAGAAATACCAGGTGCCATCAGGAGGTCCACCAGTGGGGCCAAAACACCAGAAGCCCTCCCACTGTTGCTCCCCCCCCAAGCACCAAGAAGACAGAGCATCACCGCCTCAGACAGAGCGTTCCATAGCACTCCCTACGGCTGTTTGGATGTAATATCCAGCCATACAAAGTCTTGAGCCAGAAAGCACCCAAGAAACAAAATGTCTCTGGAAAATCCTCCCCCCAACCCGCCTCTCCCCACTGGATGAAGCACTGGCAACCAACGAATCCGGCAGAGCTCACAGAGTTGGTGGACAGTGTTGGGGGTGGGATTCTCTCTCTGCATCCCAGGAAGCAAATGAGAAGTGTCAGAGAGGCACCCCCCCACACACACACACCACACCCTGAAACTCTGCCTGCCTTCCTCGGGTGTCCCAGTTTGCCCTCCAATTTACCACCACATAACTGACATACGCATTTTGGAATTCAAATCACATTGTGAGATTTATTCTTTTCACAACCATGGTATTGGTTAGAACACACCCTGAGTAATACTTTGAGACCTTTCCCGGCACCGGCCGCCGAGCAGCATTTACCGTTTGCACACAGAGGTACTTTCCACCCTCCAGGGCACGGGACACTTCGGAGAACCCCCCAAGGACTTTATAGCCCCAAACCCAGAATGTGCCACTTCTTCAAGAAAAGCAGCCTGCACAAGCCCAATCCAAACAGCAGGCTACCCTAAGTCTGGAGGGAGGAAAACCCCCATCTGCCCACATAGTCTGCCCCTGCCAGTTTAGGGAAGGCGTGCCGTTAACAACTGTTCAGAGGCAGACAGCAGTTTTGAGGAGAAACTCAGCTGTGGTTCAAGCGCGGGGCCACCAGAGGCCCAGAATGCGGTCAGTTCCAGTGGCCGGTGGTCTCTGGCTCCCGGAAGCCACGCCCCCATCCCTCGGGCACGGAAGCGGGGAAATCTTCATCTCCTCCTGGGGCTCAAATCTCAGCAGCCATTCCTGGTCCTCGGCCCCCGGCTGGGAGAGTCGTGCTCTGACCAGCTTGGCGCCCCCCCGGCCGCCCGAACTCCCGCTCTCCAGTGCCTCCGGATGCAGACAGCACTGGGCCACGAAGTAGCGCTGAACCACGGAGAGCTGCTCCGCTCCTTCTCCACCGTCCCCTGGGAGCCTCACGGAAACCATGAGGTGGCAGCCTGCGGGCTCCGCACCGCCGCATTTCCGGCCAAAGTGGTTTGCCGTGTCCAGCAGCAAGGCCACCAGCTGGGCGGCCGCGTGAGGCCCAGGGCAACTGGCCAGGTATTCCTCCAAGCTGTCCAGCAGGATCAGGGATGGGCTGCCGCCGGGCCAGGTCTCGTGCAAGGAGGCCAGCAACCGAAGGAGCTCCCGGAGGGACGCCGGGTACAAGAACTGGATTCTCTGGAGGAAGGAAAGGAAGAGACTGAATGAGGCTGGGTGGGAAGGGGGCCCAAAAGCCGCTCAGTGGACAGGCACTTTCTCTGTGATGGACGGGAAAGGCTGGTGAACCGGAGACTGTGGGACAAAGCACAGAGCTCACACGTTGCATTTATCAGGTGTAGCCCAGCCAATGACTGATCACCAAAACATGTGAGATCTACCTCTCTGTCTGTCTATCTATCTGTCTATCTACATATACACACCCCATCCATTTGTATTTTCCACTTGAAAGCCAGTCAAATCCGACTCTAGGGGGCGGGGCTCATCTCTGTTTCCAAGCCGAAGAGCCAGCGCTGTACGAAGACGTTTCCGTGGTCATGTGGCTGGCATGACTAAACACCAAGGTGCACGGAACGCTGTTACCTTCCCACCAAAGTGGTACCTATTTATCAACTTGCAATTCCTTGCTTTCGAACTGCTAGGTTGGCAGGAGCTGGAACTAGGGACAGGAGCTCACTCCGTCATGCGGCACTAGAGGATCTCGAACAGCTGAGCTACCGACCTTCCGACCTGCAGCTTCAGCATCTTAACCTCTGAGCCACCACTTTAGGGTTGTTGGGGGAACTGAAAGGCCTGATCCTAAAAATCCCAGTTTGTTTCTTTGAGACCCAGAAGCCAGCCTCCCTTATTCTGAGACACCAGGCGGTGGCTCCAGACCGTCACCAGACCATGCCCTTTCCCTGCAGAGGGGGGATAAAGAAAGTCCCCCCCAAACTCCCCCCCCCGACTTTTTTTCAGGGAAAACTTGGAGCCTGTGGAGAGTGCAGAAGGCAGCGATGAATGGTGTTCTCTTTTGGAGACACGGTTTTGCTCAGAGAACACAAGAGTGTGAATTCTACAGCATGGGACAATGGCACCTCCTATACTTATCTAATAGGGTTGGTCAGGTCTCCCCTGGAAATGCAGAACACGGTTACAGGCCCATTTGGTTCCAGCCTGACTTATTTTAGAAGAAGAAGAAGAGGAAGAGATTGGATGTATACCCCATGGCCCTTCACTACCCGAAGGAGTCTCAGAGCAGCCTACAATCTCCTTTCCATTCCCCTCCCCACAACAGACGCCCTTGTGAGGAAGAAGAGGAAAAGATCGGATTTCTACCCCATGGCCCTTCACTACCCGAAGGAGTCTCAGAGCGGCTTACAATCTCCTCTCCCTTCCCCTCCCCTCAACAGACACCCTGGGAGGTAGGCGGGGCTGAGAGAGCTCTTTCGAGGACTGCTCTTGAGAGAAGAAGAGGAGATTGGATCTATACCCCGTCCTTCACTCCCCAATGGAGTCTCAGAGCGGCTTACAAAATCCTCTCCCTTCCCCTCCCCACCACAGACACCCTGTGAGGTTGGCGGGGCTGAGAGAGCTCTGACAGTGCTTGTCAGAACTGTGGCTTGCCCAAGGTCACCCAGCCAGGTGCAAGTGGAGGAGGAGTGGGGAATCAAACCCGGCTCTCCCAGATTAGAGTCCGCCTGCACTTAACCACGACACCAAAGAGAACGGATGAAGTGGGGAAGAAGGTGAGCTGTTCTGGGTCCTCACTGGGGGGGAAAGGAGAAGTGTAGGAAGTGAAGGATGCTCTGGCCACAATTAATTTGCTGGGAGAAGCCATCCATGAGGGTGCTGAGTGCTCTGAAATGGAATTCGGTGCCCAGCACTGCTGGTCCTACTCCTGTGACTGTCCCGGGAAATGCTCTCTCTAAGTTGTGAGGTCTTGTCAGCAAAATCCTGCTTTGTGAGCCACTGGCATGAAAGTGGTGAGTGAGCGATTCGGCTGCTTCATTAATCAGTTTGCTCTTCTGGAGCCCTCCTTCCTGAGCTGAGACAAAAACATGAGCTGGAGGCTAAAAACCTGTGAGCTAGCTCACACTCACTCAGCTTAGAGGGAACACTGGTCCCCAGGCTGCCTTTCCTTTCCTCCCCGCAGCCTTGGCTTGGCCTACCGACTCCCGAGAGGCACAGGGGCACTCAGGCCGTCCTAGGGTTGCCAGCCTCCAGGGGGCGGCTGGAGATCTCCCGGTCTCCCAAGCAGTGTTCCCTCCCAGCTGACTGAGTGTGAGCCAGCTCACACCTTTTTGTCTTAGTGACAAGTACTGGGTTTGACGCATGGAGAACTTGGACAAGGACACGCGTTCAGACGTGTCTATTGTACTTCCAAACAAGACACACAAAACGGCCCTGCAAGGCCACCTGGCATACCTCTGTCCCCATTGGAGGGTTTGAACATCCCGCAAGGGTGCTATTGGTGGACTCCCGGTGGACTAGGCTCCTGGGTCCCCTTTGTGTTTGGGGACCAAGCGCCTGCTGAAGCTGCGGAACCCTGGTGGTGGTCTGCGTACATAACACTTAGCTCAGGAAGGAGGGTGTTAAGTCGACTACTTAACAAAGAGTCAGAGAGTGATTTCAGCAAGTGAATCAGCTTTAATGAAGGCAACCAGAACAGAACTACCAGAACAACATTAGCAGAGCAGTTGTGCTTCTTTTAAACTCTCCCGGGCTAATGTAGCCACGCCCTACTGTACATAACAACCAATAGGATTGTAACAATAATGTCCAATCACAGAGGTTCCCTCTCAGGGAACTGGATGGTAGGTGATTGGTATGAGGCTCCTTGCCCAGGAGGAAGCTTAACAGGGTGTTTCCCTGAGTGAGTTCATGCACAGTTTCCCTTGAATTGAATGCACCACAGAGGGCTCCAGAAGAGCAAGCTAATTTATGCAGCCCACGACTTTCATGCCAGCAGCTCAGCAAGCAGGGTTTTTGCTCACAAGACTGCACAGCTTTGGAGGGAGCATGGCGTTCTCCCAAGGGGTCGTCTCCAGTGTTCCCTCTAAGCCGAGTTGGTGTGAGCCAGCTCACAGTTTTCTAGCCTCCGGCTCACACCTTTTTGCCTTAGCTCGGGAAGGATGGGGCTCCAGAAGAGCAAGCTAATTTATGCAGCCCACGACTTTCATGCCAGCAGCTCAGCAAGCAGGGTTTTTGCTCACAAGACTGCACCGCTTAGAGGGAGCCTTGGCGCGGCGTCTCCCAGCGGATCCGTCCCCCTGGAGAGAAGGGCTGTTTGGGGAGGCTGGAGGGCTGCTGCACGGCCTGGTGGTGGTGGCCCTGCTGAGGTCCCCGCCCTCCCCAGAGGCCCCACCCCCCACCCCCCCGGATCTCCAG